GGGACGCTGGGAATGAGACTCATCAACTATTTTCAAGCCTCCAACCCAAAGTGTTTTTATATCTTTCTTGGCTTTGATTGGTTGTTTTCACCCAGGCCCGGTGGTTCCTGGGAAATGTCATTAGGAGCACAAGAATAAACCAGAGGAACCAGGTTTTTTTCTCAGATCATTTATTGTACTTCTGTCAGGACAGTGAAATTTTTTAGCAAATAGGACAAAAAGTTACTTTTATAAAAGTTATCTACTGCAACTTTAAAGTGGAGCCAATCTGGAGTGACAGGAGTCAATAATACTGTGATGTACACATCTTGTTTGGTTTAAAAGGAAACTCCTTTGATTTAGCACTTAAATAAAGTTGGGGGACTCAAAAGAACTGCAAAAATCAAAGCAGCAGAGGCTGAGATATTGGAACTTAAAAAATACTGGATTCTACACTTGCCATAATGCATCTTGATAGCAGTGGTTGTTTGGTGCTGAACAGGTAGTGTACAGTGTGTTTTTAGAGCTTTTCTCTTAAAAAAATAAAAATCAAAAATAGCTGCCTGCTGCAAATGAAAATAACACTATGAGAACGAAAGTGAAAGAGTGAAACAAAATAGTAAAGATGGACGCCAGACAGCTAAACAATGAGCTGAAACTCACTATAAAGCTCCAAGAAGCTGAGGGGATTCTCTATCATGTCATTTGACACATTCAATAAACAATTTTTAAAAACAAAATCAATCAATTATAGCTGAATGAAGTATGTATCTTTTCCTGATGAAGAGGACAGTAGACAAGCTGCCAACACCAATTATTATTGAGTCCAGAAACTGTATTTATTTATTTTTTTTTACAAACAAATGAAAACATCTGCCACTGGGGTGAGATTTATTCCAGTTTTAAAAACAAATCAACTTCAACTTTTCATGTCCTAAAATAAATACCAGTTTTCTTGTGTAGTGACCTGCCATATTGTCTTGGCTAAACATACATTCATTTTTAGATCATTCCTGTTTTCCTTTTTCAATCTAATATTATTTCATATAAATCCAATGTATAAAATATAATAAAACAAGAAAGTGCACTTAGAACAAGCAGTATTGCTGTACCTGTCCCCACTGGCAGAAATCTGTCTCGCTTTAAGGAAAACAGGACTCAATCAGAGACCAAATAATGAGTTAAAACAGACAGATGCTGTTGGAGAAATGTGAGAAATGTCCTGCTTGATTTTATCTTTAGCTGGCCCAACAGCATGACATATGTAAAACAATATAGTCGGTGTTCATTACTGATCATACAGCGAAACCAGACGTTAGCCCTGACCCCGCCACAGCTCCAGTTAGAGATTATAATGAACACTAGCAGACTCCCTCCAGTCTTTTTCTATCTTCTGTCCCACCCTGTCTCCCACTATTGACGGTTAGGTCCATGTGGGGGAGATGAAATTCAGGCAGCCCTCTGCAGGTGCCATACAATACAACACTCGTGGTGAACCTGTAATACATGCAAAGGCACTGACTGACTCACCATGAGAAACACACTGACTATTCACCATTACTGTCAGAAATATGTTCCAGTTTCTAACAAAGGCGGCCAGCCTTCACAGCTGTCATATGCATACAACAATCCGTGGCAGAACTCAAAGGGCAGCGCGGCGGAGGATTGAAAAGCTGTGTAACTGATAAAAGGGGGAAGCAGCGTGGTGCAAGGAGCAGCCTGGAACAATGACTGCAGCAGCTGACCCATGAACACAGGAGGGTCAAACGCTTTTTTAAGAGCGGTAGTTATTAGTGCGACTACATACGAGGTCTCGTAGGGGTTGGGAGGCCAGAGGGTGGCATGGAAACTTTAAGGGGTGGCTGAAATATACTGTACGCTAATCTCAAACAATCACATAGTTCAATATTTGCTTCGCCCCAAATGAAAATATTTGAACTCAAAAACATTACATTACTGGGGAGCTCACCTGGTAGAGTGTGCACCCCATGCAGGACCCCTGTGGCCTGTTGCTGCATCAACTAAATCACTTTGTGTAAAATGTGCCCATAACAGATCATTAAATTCATTTCCATTTTTTTTTTTTACATCCAAATCAATGTTAAATCTTGACGTCATTTGGAACTGAACTGGGATGGCAGGCAGCCACCCTATAGATCCGCCCCTGCGTTCCTTGCAATGCATTTCATGTACTTTTTACTGAAATTACATATACATTTAACATTTGTAACTTCATATGTTTAGATAAGGCTCAAGCTAACTTTGCTGTTTATTTAATATTAGTTTTTTTAGCGACCTGTAACGAGCACTTCCCATAAAGCAAGTACTATCATGGCTCGACATAAGAGGCAGTCCACGAGTGAGTTCAGGTTGTGTAGAGGTGATTAGAAAGCAGAGATTACAAGTGGAAGGCTGAAAAATGGACTTTAGGAAAGGACGAAACCCGGTTACTACGACGCCGCAGCTGCTTGTAGTTTCATCATAGGAGCGGTATTTTTTGTAAGTAATTGTAGTTTATCACAAAGGTCTCAATTACTAATAAAGGGGGTGTGCAGGTTTCAACAGGTTTGATTTAAGACTTTTTAAGACCATTATGAATGCAATTTAATTTTACGTCCTAACTGGCAAAAAAGTAAGAAGGATTTGGAGGATAGCGGTATTGGTTCTGTCGGTTGTTGCAGCATGACCAAAATCATATTTGTGATATTTTAAGGCATAAAATTCAGACTATTGGTTTTTAGACTTTTTAAGAACCTGCACACACCCTGCTAATAGAAACTACTGTATTGGATGCTGATGTGTCTTAGAATATGGAAAGTAAACATCAGGAGGACATTTTTTTTTTAAATAGAGATGAAAGGAATGCTGACTGAGAGGTTGCACTGAAGCCAGTAGGACAGACGCTAGCCTAGACGTGATCATTTGATTTTTAAATAGAAAGGATCAGTTCAAATGCGTCTTATTCACCTTTCTTACTGGCCTTGAAGCAACCCCTTCCTCTCAGTGTAAGATAATCTGAAGCCATCCTTTAATGCCAGAGGGGAAAAGAAGACATTTTACAAAGGCTTGACAGTTGCAATGGTGAGATTGTTTTTATTCTCATAAAGCAATCAATGTAGTGTATATATAAGATTCTTTTCTATAAATATAAAGGTTCTTTTCATAGCAAATGCAAAGGAAATGACTTCAAAGCCGTGACTATTGTAGAGCCGTCAACACAATAAAAGGATTATTATGAACCGGAAGCACCGTGTGGAGGAGCATTTGACAAGAACACAAGTCATGATGTGTGTGTGAGAAAGCCGAGCTGCACTGACAGCAGCCGCTCTGCATTTCAACAACACAAGGCTTCCTTTCTCCTGCAGTGGAAGACATGCAAGCTGCTGGCTGCTCTTCAGTCCTACAGTGCAGACACACAGCTATGTTCACCAGGATCAAATTACTGTGCAGATCAACCCGGGTCTCCTCCCAACAATAACTGACACATTCAAGCTCCACATTATGAAAAAGTGTGGCTAAAAATGAATCAAAAATATGGTTTTTGTTACAAACATTTGTGAAATGTGTATGACAAACAACCTCTCATTATGAGCTGTAGATAGAATCATATTTACAGTGCCATGTTGAAGTTTGGACACCCCTTAAAGTCCCTGCCTCTTCAGTGTTTCTTCTTGTTCCTACAGTGTTTGAACGATGTTTATTTTCACATTCATCTTCTAAAAGCTCAAAGTTTCTCTGAGCTCACTGAACATCAGATTTTAAGGGGCGGGGCCTACGAGCATGATCTGTGACATCACAAATAGTTCAGGAAGTCCATCCTGGTCCAGTCTGTAACGGATCCAGTCTTGTAACGGATCCAGTCCTGTAACGGTGATCCCAGTGGTAGATCAGGCAGTGCACACTGGAGAGTGATGCGAACTTACCAAAGTGAAAAGGAAGGAACAGTGCAGATTGTGTGTGTGGTTCGTGTGATTAACGATCGTGGACCTGTTTTAATCTAAGCAGTACGTTGCTCGGGGTACTCTTGTAAAACTCGTTGTTGAGACATTAGTACGGACGACTTCAAAGCCCCGCGTCACTGATCTCAATTCCAGACACATATCATCACAATGATAAAAACACACCTTGTGTGTGTGTATGTGTGTTGTGTGTGTGTTGTGTAAGAATGTGCCCGTGTGTGAAGGTGGAACTCTGCATCTACAACCTTCATCAAATCCTTCTATATAAGATGGGGGGATCAGTTCCTAGGAAACAAAAACTTTCAGGAAGAGCTTAAATAAACCCGTTTAGAAATCAGTTTGGATGGGTTAAATTGGCCTGTTTCCGGTGAACAATGGTGAGCCCCCCACCCCCTCAGGCGACCCAGCGGAAAACCAACTTGCAACTTTGGACTACCTCCCGGTAAATTGAGAAATAGGAAGCACTGCGAGAAGCAAAAGAACGAGCGAGAAAAGACGAACGGCTTTACGCAATTCACATAAAACGCACACGCCACCCCTCAATAAACGGTTAGTGTATTGAATGTATTACCCACCTCGGTAGATATGCTCCATCTGCGAAAAAAAATTGCCCTCCGAAAAAAAAGCACATCAGCAGCGGGTTATATGAATACAG